TTACTAGGTAATGGCTTACTAAGGCAAGCAGCCTCACTCGCCCCCACGTTTAAATTACTAGGTAATGGCTTACTAAGGCGTGCAACCTCACTCGCCCCCACGCTCTAATTACTAGGTAATGACTTACTAAGGCACGCAGCCTCACTCGACCCCACGCTTAAATTACTAGGTAATGGCTTACTAAGGCACACAGCCTCACTCGCCCCACGCTTAAATTACTAGGTAATGGCTTACTAAGGCACACAGCCTCACTCGCCCCCATGCTTAAATTACTAGGTAATGGCTTATTAAGGCATGTGTAGTGGGTTCACGGGACACGGAGACGGCGGAGTAGAGGCAGCACTGTTTATTCAAGCTTTGCAATGGTTACACTGGAAGGGGCAATGGCCCCTTCACCCGTATACACGCTGGGACACCCCCTAGGCTATCTTGCCTAAATCCTGTGCTCCCAGTTCCTCCGCTACAGGCGCTAGAGGAAGCTATCTGATCTTGCCCTGGTCAAAGCACAGATCACGGCACCCCACCAACCAGACCGACCCTTAAAAGGGCTCCGGCTCTGAGGCTCTGGGGCCGCACCACTGGCTTACCCTGCCGGCCCTCAAAAGGACACTGGTCAGGGAAGTCCCAGGGTCTATCTAGCCGGCCTTCCTTCTTCACTGGTTCTTCATTCTTGGCCCCAACACACTGCCCCTGGCTCATTTGCATTTGAACATTTGCAACGGCTGCGCGCCATTTTTGGCAGAGTGCAGCGCGCCAGATTGAAATAAAAACCACAGATGTGCCAATTGTTAAGAACATCGGTGAAGTATTTGGGGCACGTCGTTAGCGCGTCAGGAGTGGCCACTGATCCGGAAAAGACGAGTTGTGTGCGAACATGGCCAGTGCCGAAAACAGCAGGGGAAGTGCGTAGCTTTGTGGGCTTTGCGTCGTATTATCGGCGGTTCATTAAGGATTTTGCCACGAATTGCTCGACCATTGCATACGCTGACCGGGAAAGGTGTGAAGTTTCAATGGGGGATTGCTGAACAAAAATCGTTTGAAGCGTTGCGGGCCGCACTGGCGGACGCACCGCCGCTGGGATACCCGGATTTTACGAAGCGATTTGTACTTGACACGGATGCCTGTGATACGGGCATAGGCGCGGTTTTGTCACAAATGGTTGATGGCGTCGAGAGAGTGGTGGCGTATGGCAGCCGGGTGTTATCGCCGGCGGAGCAAAAATACTGTGTGACGCGTAGGGAATTATTGGCGATTGTCCATTTTGTGCGCCAGTACCGACCGTATCTATACGGCAGGGAATTTTTGATCCGCACTGATCACGCGGCACTACAGTACTCGCTGCGCGTGGATCAGCCGTTGGGGCAAATGGCTCACTGGCTTGAGACCCTCCAGGAGTACTCTTTCACGATCCAGCATAGGAAAGGAACGCACCATGTAAACCGGCTGAGACGTGTCGGTGCACAGAGGACTCGCTGTGTTGCGGCCCGCCACTGCAGGAGGTTCCGCAAACGGTCGCTGCAGCGGGTTCGGGGGTGCCAGGGATAATCCCTGGAGCAGAAATTGGATTGTTGGGGTTGTCATTGAAGCAGTGGAAGCAACTGCAGGTGGAAGATTCCTCGCTGACCAGGATGAGGCTGCGTGCCTCTCGTTCAAGGGGATCGGAGGTTCGCCCATTTTTGATGTTAACGGAGGGGTTGCTTGTTCGCTGGGATGTGGAAGCACAAAAATTTTGTATTGTTGTCCCGAGGGTGTTGCGGGGGAAACTGATTAACGAGATACATGAGAAAATGATGCATCTGGGGGAGAAGAAGACCGCGTTGACGGTGGGGAGTGAATTTTACTGGCTGGGAATGTTTAACGATGTGAAACAGCATGTAAAAGCGTGCCAGGAATGTGCACGGAGGAAAGCGCCGGCACGGCCATATCGTGTCCCTTTGCAATCGATTCAAGTTTCAAGAGTAAACGAAATTGTGGCACTAGATATTTTGGGTCCGTTCCCCGTCACCCCCCAAGGGCACAGATATTTGCTCGTCGGGGTGGAATACTTAACTCGTTGGCCGATGGCATGGCCGCTAATAGACCAGTTAGCGACGTCGATCGCTGAGGCTTTCTTGAAAGGATACGTATTAGATAAGGGGGCCCCGGAACATTTGGTTACTGACCAAGGCAGAAATTTTTCATCGAAATTGATTAAAGACGTGTGTGACTCGCTGGGGACCAAAAAGATCCGGACGTCCCCGTACCACCCGCAGACAGACGGGATGGTCGAGCGGCTGCATAGGACGCTGACGTCCATGCTTTGTCACCAAGTAAACACCGCTCAAAATGATTTGGATCTGCATCTTGCAGCGATGCTGGCCGCATATAGATTGACCCCGCATGCCTCAACGGGGTACTCGCCATTTTTTCTGATGCATGGACAGGAACCGGAAGCGCCGGCTATTGTTAAATTGGGGATTCGAAAACGGGAGAAATCTACGACGGTGCCTGCTCCGATGCAGGTGGCTTTGGACCGTCTAAGGGAAGCCCGGGAGGCTGCATTGCAAAATACGGCACGACGATAAGCCGCTAACGAAAGATTGTTCGGCAGGCAGCGGCCACGAGAGCCATGGAGTGTTGGAGATAAAGCCTGGTTGCACTGCCCCATGGTGCCGGTGAGAACGTCCCCGAAGTTTCACCGCCCCTGGCAGGGGCCCGTTGATATTGTGGAGGTTTTACGGGATCAGAGTGTGCGAATAAAATTCGGTCGTCGGACATGGTTTGTTCACCCGTCGCGCCTGAAGAAATTTGTGTTACCATATGATGCGTCATCCCCCATCCGAGAGCGGCCTGTATTGGATGTGTCCGACGAACCTGTGGGGAGGTCACAGGTGCACGTGTCCCAGAGATCTGCCCCCCGTGTGCCTGCAGGATCGCCCTTTTTGGGCAGGGTTACCGACCGGACGCCGATTGAACGGCCACAGATCCGGACCAATGGCCGTCCCGACCGTGAATGACAGACAGCCCCGCCAGCTGAGTGTCGCTGGGACAGGGATGGGCGCAGGGTTCGTTGGCGAGACGAGCGAGGCCCTCTCTTACCGCAGGATATCCCGTGCAGGGGAGATGGACCGGCAGCGGGAACCCGTTCCAGGAGGAATACAATACGTTGACTTTGGGGGTTGGGAATTCTGTATAAAGGTGTTGTGTGCGTGTCGTTGTGTGGTTGTACAAAATGGTTGTGTATTGCAAATGCGTTATGTATATAGGTTGTCATCGTTCCGTCCGCTTCACTCCACTACTCCAATTCGAGTATATCGTAGCCGGGGATGGCTAGGTTCTTTCATCACGGGGGGGGGGGGGGGTGATGTAGTGGAGTAAACGATACGCATAGGAATTGGCCACATACAGTACATACAGACATACAAGGAGAGTGGGGCACATGAGGTCGAACAGGTGGTCAAGTCACGGGTGGCGTAAACAACCCGAAGTAATTAAGGGAGTCGTGGCACGAGGGCTGTGATTGGTCGAGAGGCTGTTAGCGTTAAGTGGCAGTGTCTCGAAGTCTGACCATTGGACAGGTGCAAGCTGGCGGGAAAATGCCAGCGAGCCACGTGGCAATTAATTAAGGCTAATTGGAAAGGGGATAAAACGGTAGGTGATTTGAACGGAGAGGGAGTTGTTGCTGGGCAGTTGTTGGCGAGAGGTGGAGAGATACGAAGAGGACAGCTGGCAATGTTAGGGAAGAATAGATTGAGAGCCGAACCCAAAAGACAGTAAATAGCGATAGGGAGAGTTAGCGTTAGCGGAGAGGTAGTTACGGAGGAGATAGGTACCGGGAGAGTTACAGATAGAGTCACTGTGTGTGCGGAGATAGATAGAGTCACTGTGTGTGAATAGACAGGCAAGTCACTGTGTGTGCGGAGATAGATAGAGTCACTGTGTGTGCGGAGATAGATAGAGTCACTGTGTGTGAATAGACAGACAGGTCACTGTGTGTGCGGAGATGGAGGAAGTCACTGCGTGTGAAGAGATAGCGGCGACACTGTGTGTGAGGAGAAAGAGGAAGAACCACTCTGTGTGGAAGAGGATGCGCGGACGATGCTGAGGTGAATCGGAGTGTCCGAGTTGGCGGAGCGCGAAGAGGAGAATTACTGTGTGTACGGAACGATGGAATAAAAGAGAGGTGGAAGAAAGATGGTTGTCGTCCGAGTGAATTCACGGCACTACACGTGTGTGAAACGGTAATGTATCTAGCACACTGCCCTGTGAACCCAGCGTATCAAGTCTGATTCCTGCTCACGGATCAGACCTACCGTGAGCAGGAATTGGTCCCGGGCTTCCCCTAGGCCCACACAGCCTTAGATGAAAACCTGGCGTGGTGTGTAAACATCGCCACTCAGAAGCCAGAAGCGGCCGGGTGTGGTAGCTGGCCACCCTCCCCCGCGTGTCCCGTGCCGGCCTTTATAAGTGCTGCTCGGTAACAGCACTTGACACAACAGTCGGTGTAGGCTACACGGATGACCTTTGTCTTGTTTTACGTGTGTACACAAGCGGTTTGCTTATTGTTCAGTTGTCTTTACAGCTGGACTTTTGCACCCAGAACAGTAAGTTGTGTCACCATAAACACTGTATATCATCATCAGCTATGATAAATCCACTGCTGGATGAAACTCCATTATAAGTCGTCGTTTGCTCGAGAAGAACAAACAGTAGGTAGTGTCATCCGACATACAACGTCATCATCATGCCATGATCAATCCACTCCTGGATGAAAACATTTCCCCGCTAGAGGTGTCACCGTCTCTCACGATCCTGCGATGGGCCTCCCCTAGGTCGACTCTGCATTAAGTGAGTACCTGGGTCCGGTGTGTAAACAACAGCAGTGGGGAGAAAAATACTTCTTGGTGTAGTTCTGGCGACACCACCCGCTCGTATTCCGACCTTTAACAGGTGCTATGAATATCACTTGCCCCAACAGTCTTTTGAGGCTATACGGGGGTTCTTTGTGTGTGAGAGAACAGCCTTCCTGCCATTCCTGGTGCTGTACCTGGCACGCGTGGAGCCGGCGGAGCGAGGGTTCTTCTGCGACGACGAGAGCATCGCCTTCCCCTACCGTGACAGCACCGTGAGCGAGGGGCTGCTGTTCGGCCTGGGGTTCGGGATTACAGTGGCCAGCGTGAGTCATTCAAATTATAATTCATATAAATAATAATTTTTAAAATATCGTTGAACATAAGCCCGGTACAGAGCACGAGCAGTAAGGGGAGGGAGGTACAGATATTCTCCGGACAACAAACTATTATGCTATTTTTTTTATTTTAGCAGGTAAGGCCCACTGAGCTGTATAGCTCTTTTTCAGAAGCAACCTGGTCACAAATTATAGCCCAACGAAGTGGCTTATCACGTGGAAATTTAGAGCAGACAAATACTCTAAACGCGTGGTGTTGATTCTGAATGTGTAAAGAAAAACTGGAGGACCCGGAGATAAATCCACATGACCATGGAGAGACATGAAAACTCTAAATATACAGGCGTTAGGGTCAGATCGAACCCACTATCTCCTGTATACCAGGCAAGGCAGTTAACTTCTCGCCACCGTAGCCAAGTGCTCACGGGGCAGGAGAATTGGAAGGAGGTTTGGCTCACGTAGGGGCAGGCGAGGGGGCAACACTCTATCCCCATACAGACGGAGTTCACACTCTGCTGCTGATGAGCCAGGGTATTGCAACTCCTCGACGTGCACACGAAGGGGTTTCACAACATGGCTGTGATCCACCAACCATCGCTGCCGCCATCTGTAGTGGATTACGCGCAACGCGCTTAGCCACCACTGCCGGCCCAGCACAGGTTCTGCAGTGGAAAAAAACAACCTGGCGCCTCATAAACCGCACCGGGCTGGCACGGCACGGCCACCAGCATGGCTCGTTTGTACAATTGAAAACGCATCGATAGCGGTGTCTCACTGGCTCACAGGTGGTGCTGGGCGAGGTGCTTGTGAGCTGCTCCTACCGGGTGCTGCCTCCTCACCGCGGCTCCTCACCGCTGCCCGGAGGTATCGTCAATGCTCTCTACGTGCGGCTCGCAGCCTTCCTCATGGGAGCCGCCGCCAGCCAGAGCCTCACCGAGATAGCCAAGGTGCGGGGAAATGCAGGGGCGACAAGGGAAAGACACGAGGGGACACTGGTGGGAAATGGGGGGGGGGGGAACACGGGGGGACAAGGGGCTTACAGCCAGCCAGAGCCTCACCGAGACAACAAAGGTGTAGGGAGACATGGGGGACACCAGGGATGTACAGGGATACACGAGGAGATGTGTGCGTAATCCAAGTATTTTTTATGTGTGCAGCTCATCTTGAGCTCTGCCCGAATGGCAAAATGAATCCATGTACACGAGTCGGTGTGTGTGCGTGGTGGGGGGTCTAGTGGTTAGTGCACCGCGCTAGGAACCCAGCGACCCTGGTTCGGCCACCACCAGTGGTGAATATTTGAACCCGTCTAGGGCCTCCCCAGGTCGACTCAACCTTAAATGAGTACTTGGAACGGTGTGTTAACATCACTACTGAAGAGACAAAGGCGGCCAGGCATTGTGCTGGCCACCCACCTCCTCATTGCCATACCAGCTCGGTAACAGCTATATCTATGGGGACCTTTTTGCCAGTATCAAAACAATGAAAATGTAAGAATAGGCTGTACCCTTTCTGGCAATAAAACAGGTGTTAAGATACTCTCTGGTTTATTCGGTGTTAAGCTATTTAAACACCAAATAGATACCCCATTGCAAAGCATCAAGTCTGCATTCATCACACATACTTGTGGTAAAACGTGCAAACAAATATGCTCTGAAAATGTATATGTATTGTCTTTGAAACTGATTGGCCTGCACCAGAGACATCATTCTCTATAACCTTGTCTCACCGATGTTAGACCACAGAATGCCAAACAGCTCTTGCTCCAAAAGTCTGTCAAGGCTATACGAGGGATCTTTGCCTTTCATAATAAAGGTTTTTGGGTTAGATCGCGTTTATTTATAAATGTGTCGTAACCCTCCACCACCCGACACGGCCAATCAGCAAAAAAGTGTCACGTTGACAAAAGACAAATAATTCACTACTTCAGCCCACCGGTGTGTTGAAGAGTTAATCCACATTTACAGTTTGAGTACAACGTTTCGCTGGTAAATACTTCCAGCATCATCGGGCAATTCGCCAGAATGGTAAAGCCCTCGCTTGCTCCCGGTTTTATATAGAGCAGCAGGGTGACGTCATCACTTAACTCATCAGGTGCAGTGATTAGAGGCGGAGGGGGGGGTAATGTAATTATATAATCGATTAGTAATCAGTCATTGGTTATGATTAGTAATGAGTTGTAGATTAGTAATTCTTTAAATCAAAATGTAATGTGTATTATTTAATAATATGCTTCCAGGCCGCACTAAGCCGGTAGCTGTCAGAGCGATTAAAGTTATTCTTGTTCCTCTCAATTTCAATGGATTCTCTAATTAGTCTTTGCCAGTAATAATTAGTTTTACACACCACTGCAACATTGTCAAAATCAATTGAGTGTCCTTGTTGACAAGCATGTTCTGCCACTGCCGACAGTTGTGTTTGAGATAATTTAATATTTCTCTGATGTTCTTTTAGTCTTACGCTGATGTTACGTCCCGTCTGCCCAATGTAGCAGCTGCCACATGAACAATTAATCCGATATACACCTTCTGTTGATAGTTTAGGTAATGCGTCTTTAGTGCAAGATACTAGTTTTTGAATTTTGTGTACTGTACCAAATCTTACTGTAATGTTTTGCTTTTGCAAAACGCGGGCTAATTTGTCAGTTACTCCTGAGATATATGGTATTTTTATTGTTTTAACAATCTGGTCGCTTTCAGTAGTATTGCTTTGCGATCGTGATTTGGCATTCAGTGCTCTGTTAATTTGAGCATTATTGTAGCCATTCTGTCGTAGTGCGTCTTTAACGTGTTTAATCTCTCTCACTAGACTCTCACCATCTGACACTGTTTTCGCCCGATGTACGAGCGTCTTGATAAGAGAGGATTTTTGAGCTGGATGATGATGTGATTCTGCATTCAGATAAGCATCGGTGTGCGTTTGCTTTCTGTAAACGCTGTGTGTTATTTTACCGTTTAGGCCATGTCCAAGCAAAATATCTAGGAATGGGAGTGTGTTATTCACCTCCATTTCCATGGTGAACTGGATGGCCGGGTTTTGTGCATTGAGATGATTTCGAAAATCATTAAGTGTATCTTTACCATGTGGCCAGACAACCAAAGTGTCATCCACATACCTAAACCAAAAGGATGGTTTTAATGTGCTCGAGGCAAGTGCTCTTATTTCAAAGTTTTCCATGTACAAATTTGCTATAGCAGGGGATAAAGGAGAACCCATTGCTGCTCCTTCCTTTTGTTTAAAGAAATCCCCTCTCCATAAGAAGTAAGTGTTATTTAAACAATGGCCAGCAAGTTTCGGAATATCTTTTTGTAAACCGGTATTCTTTACTAGTGTATCAAGTAATTTAAGCGATTCGTCCACTGGAACCTTAGTGAATAGAATCTTCATTCATAAAAAATTCAGAACATCTTGTGAATGTGATTAAAGATATTAAACTTACTCCTGATGATATTCTGGTAAGTTTTGATGTGATTTCTCTATTCACTAAGGTTCCAGTGGACGAATCGCTTAAATTACTTGATACACTAGTAAAGAATACCGGTTTACAAAAAGATATTCCGAAACTTGCTGGCCATTGTTTAAATAACACTTACTTCTTATGGAGAGGGGATTTCTTTAAACAAAAGGAAGGAGCAGCAATGGGTTCTCCTTTATCCCCTGCTATAGCAAATTTGTACATGGAAAACTTTGAAATAAGAGCACTTGCCTCGAGCACATTAAAACCATCCTTTTGGTTTAGGTATGTGGATGACACTTTGGTTGTCTGGCCACATGGTAAAGATACACTTAATGATTTTCTAAATCATCTCAATGCACAAAACCCGGCCATCCAGTTCACCATGGAAATGGAGGTGAATAACACACTCCCATTCCTAGATATTTTGCTTGGACATGGCCTAAACGGTAAAATAACACAGCGTTTACAGAAAGCAAACGCACACCGATGCCTATCTGAATGCAGAATCACATCATCATCCAGCTCAAAAATCCTCTCTTATCAAGACGCTCGTACATCGGGCGAAAACAGTGTCAGATGGTGAGAGTCTAGTGAGAGAGATTAAACACGTTAAAGACGCACTATGACAGAATGGCTACAATAATGCTCAAATTAACAGAGCACTGAATGCCAAATCACGATCGCAACGCAATACTACTGAAAGCGACCAGATTGTTAAAACAATAAAATTCCATATATCTCAGGAGTAACTGACAAATTAGCCCGCGTTTTGCAAAAGCAAAACATTACAGTAAGATTTGGTACAGTACACAAAATTCAAAAACTAGTATCTTGCACTAAAGACGCATTACCTAAACTATCAACAGAAGGTGTATATCGGATTAATTGTTCATGTGGCAGCTGCTACATTGGGCAGACGGGACGTAACATCAGCGTAAGACTAAAAGAACATCAGAGAAATATTAAATTATCTCAAACACAACTGTCGGCAGTGGCAGAACATGCTTGTCAACAAGGACACTCAATTGATTTTGACAATGTTGCAGTGGTGTGTAAAACTAATTATTACTGGCAAAGACTAATTAGAGAATCCATTGAAATTGAGAGGAACAAGAATAACTTTAATCGCTCTGACAGCTACCGGCTTAGTGCGGCCTGGAAGCGTATAATTAAATAATACACATTACATTTTGATTTAAAGAATTACTAATCTACAACTCATTACTAATCATAACCAATGACTGATTACTAATCGATTATATAATTACATTACCCCCCCCCCCACCGCCTCTAATCACTGCACCTGATGAGTTAAGTGATGACGTCACCCTGCTGCTCTATATAAAACCGGGAGCAAGAGAGGGCTTTACCATTCTGGCGAATTGCCCGATGATGCTGGAAGTATTTACCAGCGAAACGTCGTACTCAAACTGTAAATGTGGATTAACTCTTCAACACACCGGTGGGCTGAAGTAGTGAATTATTTGTCTTTTGTCAACGTGACACTTTTTTGCTGATTGGCCGTGTCGGGTGGTGGAGAGTTACGACACATTTATAAATAAACGCAATCTAACCCAAAAACCTTTATTATGAATAATATTGGTCGCGAAAGCCTATGTGTTAATCTTTGCCTTTGTATGTGCGTGTACAGGTGAGCATTGGGCGGCTACGCCCTCACTTCCTGACCGTGTGCAGGCCCGACCCGGTGCTCACCAACTGCTCAAGTGAGCTCATCAGCCTGGACATGTGCTCAGGAGAGCGTGAGCTCATCTTGGAGGCCAGGTGAGATGGGTCCACACCATGCTCATTCTTCACCACAGCCATCATCATCATCTACCACCACCATCATCCACCATCATTCACCACCATCATCCACCATCATCCATCGTCATCCACCACCATCATCATCCACCACCACCATCATCCACCACCACCATCATCCACCACCACCATCATCCGCCACCACCATCATCAACCACCATCATCATCCACCACTGCCATCATCCATCATCATTTAACCCCATCATTCTCCACCACCACCAGCATCCACCACCACCATCATCCACCACCACCATCATCAACCACCATCATCATCCACCACTGCCATCATCCATCATCATTTAACCCCATCATTCTCCACCACCACCAGCATCCACCACCACCATCATCCACCACCACCACCACCATCATCAACCACCATCATCATCCACCACTGCCATCATCCACCATCATTTAACCCCATCATTCATCACCAACATCCACCACCAGCATCATCCGCCACCATCATCACATTATATGTTGTGTATGTCTGTGCGTGGGGAGCGGTGGCACGGCAGTTAGCCCACCTGGCTACGATTCCCACTCACCGCCACCAACACGGTGACGATTACCTGAACCGGTAATGGGTCTCCCCTAGGTTAACTCGGCTTCAAATCAGTACCTGGGTATGGTAGCCATCGCCACTATGGCGGAGACAAAGGTGGCTAGCTAAGCACAGTGCTGGCCACACCACCCCGCTGGGCCGGCCTTCATAGGTGCTCGCTAACAGTACTTGCCCCAACAGTCTGTGAAAGTCTATACGGGGCACATTTGTCTTTGTGTTCACAGGAAGTCGTTCTACTCCGGCCACGCTTCATTCGCTATGTACACCATGGCCTTCCTTGCTGTGAGTACACTGTCCTTGTTGATGCTCGTACTGATGCTGGTCCAACTGATGATGATGATGACGGATTTGATGATGATGGATTGAATTATGACAATGATAAAGGATCTACCAGCTGCTGCTGATGATTATTATTAATTAGAGGATGGTTCAAATCACAACTAAGTGTGATTCATTATGACTGACGACAGTTGCCTCCAACGGCCTTCCACCGCTAGCATTCGTCGATCAAATCTGTCGAAGAACAACAACGACGAAAATCTCAATACAAACGCTAGTGCACAACAAGTGCACAACAAGTCCACCACAAGTGCACAACAAGTGCACAACAACAAGTGCCAGCCCTTTCCATACCACCAGCAGCTGAAAAAGAACTGCACACGTGTGACCATTACGCAAAACCAGATTATCTCCATGTATTCACGGTGGTCTCGGACGATATGACCGCAATGCAGTTCTTCCGAGTTGGTGGTTTTGTAGAATCGGTAAGACTTGAGAGCTTATGCACGTGCAATGCACAGCCGCCTGTGTTGTTAAATATAAATTCTGGTGGTGGTGGCTACGCTGCTGCTGCACGTTTCTGTGGAGGCAGCAGCAAGGTTAATAGATCACCACACAGATGTTGCGAAACTCCCTTCCCGTGGGTGGGCATCGAGGCGGAGCCATACTCTGGCTCGCCTCGATGGACTTATCCCCATCTGTTTCTATCTGTACGTGGATTGAGTGTTGCTCTTTGTTCCGTCACACATCTCACATGTTATTGCTGACTGCTTTATACTATACTAGCTGTACCACCCGGCTTCGCCCGGGACTTGGATCCACCACGCCCGGCCGCCTTTGTCTCCCCAGTGGCGATGTTCACACACCACAGCAGTTACTCGTTTGAGGCTGAGTCGACCTAGGGGAGGCCCAGAAGCGGTTGAAATAATCGTTACCGGTGGTGGCCGTGAGCGGGAATCGAACTCGGTTCGCCGGGTTTGTAGCGCAGCGCGCTAACCGCTACACTACAACGCGTTACGCTTCCACACACACACAGACAGACACACAGACAGACAGACAGACACACACAGACAGACACACACAGACAGACACACACAGACAGACACACACACAGACACACAGACAGACACACACACAGGCACACATACACAGCACGCTAACCACTACACTACAATGCGTTACGCTTCCACATGCGCGGGTCACGTGACAGATTTGACGTCACAGCTCACTTGCCGTGCAAAAAATAAATGCATTATTGAGCTCCCCCCCCCCAAAAATAAATAAAACAAAAGTGTATTATAATGTTTGCATGGTGTAAAGTCTGGAAAGTATCCACATGGCAAATTTTCAGTTTGTTGCATGTCGGGAAGTACGCTAAACATTTTGAACAGACACATATTCACAACTTTGCCTTTTATATATATGGAGATTATTTATTATAACGCGATTTTTCCAAAACGCGGTGTTCTTCAGGAATGCAACTACCGCGTTATAGGAGAACAGACTGTACATTAGTTAAACGTGCACAAAGTGATCCCATTCGCTCGGGGGTGGTGAAAGGCCCAGCGGTTTCCAATTCGTCACTCGTTACAGGAGGTTTGCGGTTCGAGTGCAGCAGCCGCCCTGGTTAATGCCGCGGTGTGTGGTGCACAAACCATAAAAATAATACCACGCTTGCTGTCTGCTTCACGCACGGTGGATGTTAAAAATCCAGTGACGTCGTTCGCAGGAGTAGGCGTGACGATCCAAATGTGAATATTTCACCACAAATTAGTTCATAAGAATCACCACCTGCTGTGAAAAAATTGGCAGGACCCTCTTGAAAACGAGTCACGACACTCAGGCTTGCCTGGGTAAGACGAGCAGAATTAATAAATTGGCTTCAGATATCCTGCCACAGCTGACGTGAGCTCCCCCACTCCCCTCTCTTCTGTCCTCTCCCCATCTCTTCTCTCCTTCTTTCTCCTCTCTCTGCTCTCATCTCTCCTCCCCTCCCTCCCTTCTTCCCCTATCTCCCCTCTCCTCATCCTACCCCCCTCTCCTCTTCCTATCCTCCCCCTCCTTCCCCTCTCCCCGACCTTTCCCTCCCGCCCCTCTTTCTATCCTCCCCTCCCTCCCCATATCCCCCCCTCGTCTCCCCACCGTCTCCCCCACTCCCTCCCCATGCCACCCCCCTCCTCCCTCCCACACCGTCTCCCCACGTCCCCCAGCTGTACCTCCACTCGCGCCTGCGCGCCGCGAGCCTCCGGCTGCTGCGCGCGTTGCTTCAGCTGTCGGTAGTACTGCTCGCCCTCTGGGTGGGCTACTCGCGAGTCTCCGACTACAAGCACCACTGGAGCGACGTCCTCGCTGGACTCGTCCAGGGCGCCGTCGTTGCCGCCGTCGCCGTGAGTCCAGAGATGGATCGCACGGCTTAGCAGGCCCGCACCCATGCTCCTCTCACTTGGACTGGGGTCGTCTCCACGTGTCCTCTGTGTGTCTCCTCTATGAGTCGCTATGGATCTCCGTGTGTCTCTGTGTATCTCTATGAGTTGATGTGTATCTCTATTTATCTCTGTGCCTTTATACCTCTCTGTATATCTCTATGGGTCTCTATGTATCTATGAGTCACACGTGTGTCTCTATGGGTCTCTGTGTAGTGGTGGTGGCGGTGGTAGCTATGGTGACGGTGGTGATGGTGACGATGGTGGTGGTGGTGGTTGACATAATATTCCTATAACCGGCACACCTCGTCCAGTATACATCTTTGTATGGCTGTGGTCACCACTAGTCACTTGCCACATAACCTCATGAAGCATGGGCCCCAGAAAATATTGAATGAGAAATTAAGCCCCAAGTACGCTGGGTTCACCTTTGTTTCACCCTTGTTAGTAGTCATCAGCTGTACATTGGTAACTGGACCCCTGTATGTGTGTGTGGTGTTTGTTTTGGGACTCTGCAGGTAATTCACCTGGCCGATTTGCCTTGGGGGGACGATGAGGAGGAGCCCCCCAAGAATCCTCACGAAGACTTGACCAGCGTGCAGAGCGTACACCAGTACACGAACACATACAAGATGTAGCACACGTACTTATACGTGCATATACATACACACACATGCTATAACACGCATAGAAAGATATCCCCATTTTCGCAGACTTTACAGACTTTTGGGGCAAGTGCTGTTAGCACATACAGATAGTCCCCGACTTACGATGGAGATGCGTTACGACGACCCCATCGTAAGTCGGGGACTACCTGTACATACCAACAGGATAAGATGGAGGACATGCATGCATACATACATATACACATGTAAATTCAGTATATACATATACACATGTACATTCAGTATATACATATATACATGTACATTCAGTATATACATATACACATGTACATTCAGTATACACATGTACACATGTACATTCAGTATACACATGTACACATGTAAATTCAGTATATACATATACACATGTACATTCAGTATATACATATACACATGTACATTCAGTATATACATATACACATGTACATTCAGTATATACATATACACATGTACATTCAGTATATACATATACACATGTACATTCAGTATATACATATACACATGTACATTCAGTATATACATATACACATGTACATTCAGTATATACATATACACATGTACATTCAGTATATACATATACACATGTACATTCAGTATATACATATACACATGTACATTCAGTATATACATATACACATGTACATTCAGTATATACATATACACATGTACATTCAGTATATACATATACACATGTACATTCAGTATATACATATACACATGTACATTCAGTATATACATATACACATGTACATTCAGTATATACATATACACATGTACATTCAGTATATACATATATACATGCATAAATATGCACAAAGACAGTTCCCCTGAGTAGCCTTAACAGACTGTTGGCACGAAACACAAGGGAAGCGATGTTTACACATCGCACCAGGTACTCATTTGAGGCTGAGTCCACTTAAGAGAGGCCCAAACCTGATTCAGATATTTGTCACCGGTATTGGCCATAGGTGGGAATCGAACTCAGGTTGCCGGGTTCATAGATCAGAGCGCTTCCCACTGCACTACCGCTCCCCACACCCGGTACGTCACACACCCATTTTCACAAGATCAAGACAAAGACCCCCCATATAGCCTCAATATACATTTGGGGCAAGTGCTGTGAGCGAGCACGTATGAAGGCCGGCACGGCACATGTGGAGGTGGGTGGTCAGGACCACGCCCGGCTGCCTTTGTCTCCCTAGTGGCGAGATTTACACACAGCACCGGGTACTAATTTGAGGCTGAGTCAACCTAGGGGAAGCCCAGAACCGGTTGGCTGTGAACAGGAATCGGAACTCGGGTCACCGGGTTTGTAGCACTAACCACTACACCACCGATCACCCCGAACACATGAGCACACACGATACCCTTCCACCTGCAATAACAGTCACCACTGAAGCAATGGGCACTTCACCACCACTCATGTACCAGGCTAGGTGCACTTCGAAGCCACATAGAGTTCACGGTCCAAACTCGGATATAATGGGGTTAACTGACCTGGCAGGCTTGGGGGCAGTGCCAGTGCTTTGGCTCTGCCCACACGCGTGTAATTTCTAACTCGCATGAGTGATTGTCGTATTGCTGCTGCAATCACTTAGACATTGTTTATCATCGCTGTCAGAATGCAAAACGGATGCCCCCTTTGGTATTGTTAATGTACACGTAATTTACTCTTTACTTTTGTACGTTGAGCTGGAAATGAAAGTTATTCAATTACGTTGTGAGGCAGCTTTGGCATGTCGATTTACCACGCAAAGATTTATATTGTATTGTCTGTTAAATAATCTGTTTACAAATAAGACAATCTTTCTGCTGCTGCATTAGCAGTGGTGAAGAAGCACAACCAACGACAACAAATATCGATGGAACCCTTTTTGTTGGTATCAAAATAATGAAAAAGAAAAGGGCTTTATCCTTTCCGGCAATAGAAACACCTATCGCAAGGCATCAAATGAACATTAACTCCACATGCTTGTGGTGAAACACATTATTTTTGTCAAAATCAAGCATGTGTGGTTACTGCAGACTCGCCGCCTTGCAATCGGTGGAAAGTCTGCACCACTGCACTCTTGCCGCCTAAGTTCACAGTAATATAGACGATTGGGTTGAGTTATTTATTGTTGACTGTGAATGTGCACCACTGCCAACGCAGCAGCAACGGCCAGCAACATCGGATAACTTGTCACTCCTTTAGGGTTAACCAGGACCATGAGTTGCTGTTTAACCTTGACAGTTTCTCTCCCATTCAACAATCCTGTGTAGTACGTGTCCATCAGACTCCTGGACATCTGTGAAAAAGAGCTCATCGGATTTCCCCCTATCTAAATACAGATTCTGAATTTTAAAATGTTCGAAAATTAAATGTGCAATATACCTTATCGTCTGTCTTTGTTGTTTATCAAGGGTCTCTTTCACAATGGAAGATTGCAAGTTCAAATCCTGGTTGGGCTGGGGGTGGGGGAATGGTCAATCAATTCATCATCCCTATGTAGTCGATAACATGTGTACCGTTTTGTGGAAATTGACATGGTTCACGCAATTGCGTTCATTTGTTTATTTTATTCTTGTGCATGATGGCAGCAATGTGTTCAGGAGCTTGATGGGAATGTGAGATCGTTTGTATCGTTTTGCTGTTCTTCCTCCTTCTTTGAAGTAGCACAGACCACAGTGGTTGACTGTGGTTTAGTGTTGTTGGGTTGCATTGCCACAATAACGCTACTGTACTGTGGCTTGTCTTTAATGTACAATCTACCAACGTGTCTCTTTATCTCTATGGGTATCTACGTAAATCTGTGTCTCTATGAGTCTTTGTGGGTTTACTACTTAGTGGTGGAGAAGATAACCTTCCCGTGGTCTCCATTGTCACTGTTACGTGCTTGTCACAAACTAATGTCATCAACCCGGCGATCGAACGCCCGAAAAAGGCCTCCCGATCAGGATTGCAACACCAAAGGTCATTTTCGGGCCAAACTTACTGCAGCATAGGACCGTCACTACGTTTGTACCATCTAAATGTAGAGGGTCTATTAAAGCCCAAGTGCCACTTACTGGGACGTTTTCTTGAACTCCACATTGTCGACGTGCTCCTGCTCCAAGAAACCTGTCCAGCCGATGACGAAATAGCCTCAAAAATTAAAATCCCTGGATTTCTGCTCGCGGCCAGCCACCACCATCACAAGCACGGACGAGCAACGTCACGTGTGAAATCACATCGCAAGGACCTCACCACAACAAACCCAAAAAACATCACACTGGCAGCCATCATCAAAATCGAGGATGTATCTGTGGCTTGTGTCTTTAAATTTCCATCCATGAACGAGATGTGGCACATCAGCCTGGTGATGATGTTCTGATGCGGTTGATCGTTCCACCAGTGTCTTCGAAGATGAGTACGAGGAATGTCCAGGCAGGAGGAGCTGCGACGATGTTTGGGTCTGCCCAAATAATTCTGTGGCGCTCGCTTATCGAGCGGACGCCCCTGCCTGCCAACAGTGAGCGAGTAATTGCCCTCACGCGAACTCCTGTCATCCCCACAGCAACAGCGGCTTTTGGCTGACCATCGAACAAAGACGGTAGTCACCGCAACGCGCACTTTGAGATGCGCTTTTGCGGCCGTCTGGAACGCTCTTCTGATATTAGGACGCCACTGGAACTATGGACTTTTAAACCATATAGATTGAAAACTAATTTGTTTAGAACTGCTTTTTGTTTTTAGTCTGTTGTCCTTCCCCCGTTTGGTTACGTGCAGTGCGAAAGAAGTTCAACATACATACAAACATATATTGCAGGGCTGCGCCTTTACCTTGAGCTACCGGAGCGATGAGGTCAGCCCGTGCAACGGTGCTGGCTGGGTCGTTGGATCGCAAGAATCGTGAGGGGTGGCGGTGTTTTTTTGGGAAAGGAAGGCCGTTATTCACCACTGGATTGACCATGGCTCCTGATAATTACATTTTAAAACAGTTCATCTGGGTGTGCGTGGGCAGCAGTGGCGCGAGTAGTTAGTGCGCTACGCTACAAAGCCAGTGACCCGGGTTCGATTTCTGCTCACGGCCAACAACAGTGACAATTATCTGAAGTGGTCCTAGGCCTTCCCTAGGTTGACTCAGCCCTAATTGTGTACCTGACGTGGTGTGTAAAAACATTGCTACTTGGGAGAGAAAGGCGGCCGGGCGTGGTGCTGGCCAACCACCGCCTCGGGTGCCGTGCCGGCCTTCACATGTGTTCGCTCACAGCACTTGCCCCACCGCTCTGCTACAGGCAATACAGGGGATCTTAGTCTTTTTGTGAGACGCTAGGGGGCGACCTTGGCTCACAATGTCAGGTAACCCGTGAAAGTTGAGTTGCGGGGCTTATTTTTTATTTAAATTAATTGAAGTTATAAGTGCCCGTGTGAAGAGTAAAGAAAGGACTGCTCATTTGAAAGGGTGGTTTATACGTGAGCGGTTTGAAAGATTGGCATGCAGGCACATATAGATTGTATTCGATTAAATTAACCTTTTTGAGAGATGCCTTTTAATTTGAAAGTGTGATTGGCGTGCGTGCGTGGGTGATTGTGATTGTTATAAGCAGAGGGATTAAGGCGCGTGGACGAAGTGCATTGGGGTGAAGGCACCTGTCAGAGATAAACGACATAATTTGAAAGGGCGGCGTGCGCACGTGTACGGATGAATTACTGAATTGAATATGCATGCTGAGAAGAACTTTAATTGTAAAGGGTGGCGTTTGTGAGTAGTCTGGTGGTGGCAAGTCTTTTAGAAACAAATCATCCTTCATTTAAAAGGGTGCCGTGCGTGGACATAAAAAAAATACATTGGACTGAAGGTGTTTTCATTCAGATAGAACCTTTAATTTTAAAGGGTGGTTTGGTTTTGATGATGGGATGAGGGTGAGCCAATAGGAATTACATTGGGTTGAACTTGCCTTTAGAAAGACGTGACCTTTAATTTGAAAGAACAGTTCGTTTACGTGAGTGGTTCTGATGGTGGGTAATTGCGAGAACTAGCGTAAACACTAGAGTACACAATTGAAGGTGCCCTTAGTTAGAAGGGGCCTTTAATTTGAAAGGGTGACGTACGCGCATAGAGAAATTACTTTGGGTTGAAGGTGAATTTAGAGGGTTTTTTATTTGAAGGTATTGTCTGCATAAGTGGTTCTGATGGTGGTAGGTGCCCTTGGAGAGGACCTTTTACTTTGAAAGGGTGGCGCTCGTGTTCAGACGACACATTCTGTTGAAGGAGCATTCGCGATAGAGGCACCTTTAATTTTAAAGAGTGATATTGGTGTATGTCGAGGAACCACATTGGGTTAAAGGTACCTGTACATAGAGGCTCTTTAATTTTAAAGGGCGGCGCACATGCACAGATATTGTGCATTGCTTTGAAGGCACGTGTAGAGAGGACCTTTAATTTTAAAGTGGGCCGTGCGTGGGTGGTTCTAATTCTGCCAAGGCACGTGAGAGGCCGTTTAATTTGAAAGGGTGGCACGCGCACACAGATGAATTAACATTGGCTTGAAAGCGCCTTTTGAGAGAATACCTAGAATATGAAATGGCGGTATACGAGAGGAGCGGGTTTGATGGTGGTAATGGTTGGCATTAAGAGTAAACAAATGAATTGTGTTGAAGGTGAATTCGAAAGCGTGAGAGAAGGCCCTTATATTTGAAAGGACGGTGTGCGTGGGTGGCGCTGACGGCGGTAAGCATTATGAGTGGGGAGGGGTAGGATTGAGGCGGAGCAGATGAATTTACATCGGTTTGGGGGAAGTCCTGCAACGGAGGCCCTTTAATTTGAAAAGATTGCCTTTGTTTCACGTGACTTGAATTGGCGTTTAACGAGGTGGGGGTACTTTTATTTTGAAGGGGCGTCAGGGGGAGCTGTCCGGTGACGGTAGTGCTGACGTATTTGGGACGTGATGAATGTTGGAGGGAAGAGGAGGGAGGAGTTAGTGTGATGCTAGAAGAAGGAGACATTCCTATCTTACACACACAATAAATATATCCAGGCAGATCCATTCGCATCACCATCATCCATGCCGCTGTACCATCATTGATACCAATTAACCACCAGCCTCCAATTAACGCTGGCCTGTTTGCGTCATCGCTTGGGGGGAAAGGTAAGTGCAGTATAGAATTGCATACTGTACGTGTATCCACGTGTGTGAATGTGGAACGGCACTTGCCTCAACAGCCTATGTATGCGGGCTATACAGGAGTCTTTTGAATTTTCTTTGCGCGTATGATAGGTGCTCGCTAACAGGACTTGCTCCAAGTCTGTTTTGCCTATACAGGGTCGCTTTATCTTTACATATCATATTCGGCCTTAAACGGAATAATACGTACGCGATTACCCGTGTAAGCGTAAACATTACCAGTGGGAGAGACAAAGGCGGCCGGGCGTGGCACTGGCCACACCGCATCCTGCGTGTGCTGTACCGGCGTGAATAAGAGAGACTCGCTAACAACACTTGTCCCAAAAGTCTGTGTAGGCTACACGGGAGAGGGGGTCTTTGCCTTTGTACTGCATGTACTGTATGCTCACGGCTACCAACACCAGTGACGATTAGCTGAACCGGTCCTGGGCCTCCCCGAGGTCGACTCGTCCTCAAATGAGTACCTGGTCCGGTGTGTAAACATCGCCACTGGCGGAGACAGGCGGCCGGGCGTGGTGTTGACCACCCATCCCCTCTTGTGCCGTGCCGGTCTTCATAGGTGCTCGCTTACAGCACTTGCCCCAACAGTCTGTTCAGGCTATACGGGGAATCTTTGCTTTTGAAGGCTATAAATGAACAAGTACAGGTCGATGTTAATCCACTTCTGGATGAAGGCCTCCCCATGCACGCCTTGCAGGTTGTGATGGGGTTGGGGGTCGTTTGACCATATTTCACCACCCTGCGTCAGTGCGGGTCCTCGGTCGTGAAACTCGAAGGGGGGATTCCATGGCCACACATTTTTTTGTATGATAGTTAAGTTCGTACATTGTAATATTTATAGATTAATTTAGTCGTCGATATTTGCACTTCGAAATATATTAATATTAATTATTATTAAAGGTAAATTAATTAACATAACACTCGTTAATATATACATACAGATTATATGTTGACACGTAATGTCTTTGTCACCTAAACACATTTTCCTCAAGCTTTTAGTATTCATATTCGCGCCAGTGTTCAGGAACGCGTGCCCCGCGAATATCAAGGGGTTTTTTTTTTTAATTAAAGAGGCTTTCCTGTACAGATTTCAAAACAGATGAGTTTTCAACATTATGGTAAGTGCTCATATGCATGCATACATACATATAATAACCCTTATAAACTGATGGAAGTAATGTATGTACAATATAATCTTACTCGATTCATAGAACCTTACTTGAATCAAGAAAGACTATTAACTCTTTATTACACGTATTCTTAGCTCTTTCGGTAAAGTCACGTTGAAGGGAAACAATAAAATAATAATATATATAAAACTATAAAAATTCTCACGACGTTTCGACCATAACACAAACGGTCGTCATCAGGTGTAAAAGCCAACGGCAAGAAACATTTGAAAGAAGTGTCGGTTTGCGTTAATTTCTTTATTTTAAACGGTGTATTCATTTATTTAATAAAACGTCACGCACAGCGATTTGGCAGTTTATTTAGAAGGACTAGTCCATCTATGTTCTGAAAAGAGGAGGGGGGAGACGAAAAATTAATGTATGCTGTCTGAAAGCCACCGTAAGCGTGAACAATCAATTAAGACCTGAAATGGTTTATCAAATCCTTCCAATAATTGCTAAGCCAGAATCCATCTTCTCGGTTGAAATTGTCTCTGTGCTTGTATATGTGGATAGCCTCATGAACGAATCTCTCATGGTAGCCAGATGGCTTGCAAAGAACCTCTGTCTTGGAAAAGTCAATGTCATGTGAGCCTACTGAATTATAACAATGATCTGCCATGGCCGAGGTGTTGGTCCTACCGTGTTTAAGGTCTGCTTTGTGTTCACGAATGCGGTCCGAGACATGGCATTTTGTTTCTCCAATGTAACTACTACCACCGAGGCAACTTAGTTTGTAGACACCAGGGTACTGTATGTCCGGAATCACATCGTTTACAGACGGAACCAGATCACGGATTTTATGTAATGTGTTGAAACGGACCTGGATCTTGTGTTTATTCAAGATTTTGGAGATCTTTTCTGTGATCCCTGCAATGTAGGGTAAAGTGATGGTTTTGAAAGGCTCCTCAAGAGGGTCCTTCTTCATAGTTTAAGTGATAGCTTTGCGGATTGTATAGTCGGAGTAACCATTAGCCTTAAGAGCTTGGTGTACGTGCTTGAGTTCACTGCCTATGTGTTCCTGGTCAGATATGCATTGGGCTCTATGGTGCAGAGTCTTGATGAGAGAATTCTTCTGTGATGGATGGTGGTGGGAATCCGGTTTCAGATAAGCATCCGTATGGGTAGCTTTCCTGTAGACAGAGTGGCTCATTGAACCATCAGGTCTTTTTTTTTATTAGGACATCCAAAAAAAGGTAGCTTGCCATCTTTTTCGACTTCCATGGTAAATCTGATGGCTGGGTGTATGGAATTGATGTGGTCGAAGAATTGGTCTAGAGCAGGCCGGCCATGTGGCCAGATAACAAAAGTGTCATCCACGTACCTCTTCCATAAGGTTGGGCGCAGAGTGGCAGTCTGGATGGCGTCAGTCTCAAATTTCTCCATGAAAAATTCACACTGTTCACGGTCAAAAAATGCTGCTTGTGGCTGGTCGCTTGGCGTTTGTGGTGCCTGATCAATTAACAACGCACGCTCGGCTACTCTGGTTTCGCCCCGTGTGAGGCGTGGCGTTCATTTGTTTACCAGAGCTGGAATAGTCCAATTCTATTTAGTGTCATGATACTTTGAATAGTATTGCGCAGTTCAGTCGCTGGGCTGCTGACCGGTCCCAGACCACTACCACCATCAGCACCTTGACTCGCGATACTGTACTTGACAATCCTGTTTAACCACTCACAAGTGGCCGATACCCAACTTTGAGCCGAGCATCTGGTGACTCGATGGCGAGATTTAACGACCTCGCCTGGTATACCGCAAGTGGTGTGTTGGATCGCGACCCCAAAGCCTGTATATTTGGAGTTTGTTTCCCTCTCCGTGGTCGTGTGGATTTTTCTCCGGTTCCACCGGTTGTACCCTCCAGATTTAGAATAAACATCACGCGTTTAGAGTATTTGGCTGCTATCAATTTCCACATGATGAGCCACTTCGTTGAGCTCTCATTTGTGACCAGGTCGCTTCTGAAAAAGAGCGATATATAGCTCAGTGGTCCTTACCTGATAAAAAAAAACGTTTTATTTCGTATTAATCTGCCAATAAGGGGGAAATGACAGCCTCTGTGTGTAATGCCAATTGAGAAATTTGAGGTTGGTTGTATTTTTTAATCAAAATATTTGTGGGCTCTTTTTTTTGCTCGTGCGCTAACCGGGGCTTCGCGTCACTTAACAAAAAATCTATTTGTAAATCTGACAAAGTCGTGGTACCAAAAGCTGGCCATCCACTGCAACTCATCGCTGTAATGCTCCTGAAACTCCCCTCCTCTGCATTTACACCATCGGGGCACACTGCGGTGTGGTTGGTGTCTGGAGCATGGTGTTCAATCAATGACTGCACACAAACACACAAATGTATGACATCAAAATTCTTTGTTCAGAGTTTGTTTTGTTGTTGCTTAATTTGGCAAAACAAAGTCCAGCTAGCCGAAATTTGAATCCGTTGCTAAGAATCAACACAAATTCCCCCCCCCCCACCCCCCCGTTACCGCCGGAATTAATCTGTAATTCACACTGTTCATGTCCTGTGATGGTGATCGCTCACATGAGCACTTCCCAGGCTCCACTCTGCTTTAACTTGCGAGATCCGCTATTAATTGCTTAAATTCCAACTGATAATGATATCATCTTGCTAGTATCAAGATGATGAAAAAAGAATAGGCTTTACCCTCTCCGACAAGAATACAGGAGGTGTTAAGCTGTTCAAAGAGCAAATAGACACCTATTACAAGTAATCACGTCTGCGTTAACCACACATGCTTGTGGTAAAACATGCAAACAAACGTGCTTTGATCATGTATGCATTGTCCTTGAAATCGATTGAACATCTTAACGCCTGTATTCTTTCCGAAAAGGGTGAAGCATACTATTTTGTTTCATCGTCATCTTGAATATCTGTTGCTTGGCAGCAGTCAGATTTCTCCTACCTCCAATACCATGCTGATCTCGTCAAGGAGCAATAAACATCACGTGAGCTCCGGTCACCTTCGCAGCAGCGGCTTCTGGCTGGCCATCGAACAAAGACGGCCACCACATCGCACACTTTCAGATGCGCTTCTGCGGCCGTCTGGGACGCTCTTCCTTCCAATATTAGGAAGCCACTGGAACGATGCACTTTTAAATCATTAAGATGAAAAATGTTAACTGCTTTGTGTTTAGTTTGTTGTTCTTCCCCCGCACCTATTAGCACAGTTGGCTACGTACGGTGCGAAAGAAATTCATGTATACGCGATATTTGATATTTCAACCGCGTTGAGTTGGCCTGCGACACGCACTGCTGCCCTCTTCCTCTCGCTTCGGCTCTGTGTGGAATCGCAGCCTGCCTGCATCGCTGCACCAGCCCAGTCACAGCCACTGCCTGTATTTAATTCCTTTGGGGGGGGAGGG